GACTCCTGCACCTTATGCTATTTCTCTACCCAGAACAGACTTACCATTTCAAAATACAAATTTGATCATATTAATCCTCTCAGGAAAAGACAGATTCCCTTTGCTACAGAACCAATCCCCCAATCCTCTTTCCTGTATAGAACATCAATGCTGTGATCTATGCATGAACCATGCTGATTCATTCTCTTACCTGGAAACTCATCTCTGTTTTCTTCCTACTGTCATACCCACTCTCAACATCCTTCTCACAAACCAATTTTTCATTTCCTTGGAAGTCAAAACCCATATATTTAATTAGTTTTTGTAATTCTTAGTTTAGTGCTGTCTCTACTAAACTAAGCAATGTGAAGGCATCTGATGATATTTATCATTATAGTTCTATTTGCCTGTAGAGTCTTTGTGCCCAATGAAGCACTCAATTGGTATTTACGGAGTAGAAAAATGAACATTTATATCTCCCTTATTCTGATTCCAAATAAAACAAAGATGTTTCCCAGGATAAAAGCTCACTCTCTTTGTGGGTGTTTCTTAGGGCTGAAACACACTAGGCATTCCCAACAAAAAATCTGATACTCTCAAAATTATATTTTCAAATGTAAATTATTATTCTGATTTTACACACATGTCATACCTTTGTGATGAGCCTGGGACCAAAGCATTCTTAGTACACTGACAAAAATCACTATTCATTACAAAGCTGAGGGCTTTTGGCAGGAAGGTGATAAATTTGCCCAAGTATAGACATTTGACAAGGCCCCATGGGTGTGGCTTTTCTAAAGAACTATTAACCAAAGGTAAATTGAAATCCTAACCTCTCAGTGTGATGAAGACAACAATACCAAAGTATAAACAGACACGAGCTTTCAGCTTCCCTCATCATCTAGGGAGAACTCCTTGCCCAGCTTGGTTCCAAGGACTCTTGGATTGATTTAGTAATTTAATACACAGAAAAATGAGAAGTTTTGAGAGGTTAAACTGATTTAGATAAGAATGAATCTTATGACAGAGAAAACAAAAATTCACAATGTGTAAGAAAGGGACCCAGACTGGAATGAGAAAGTCTTGGAGGGGGTAATCTATCTTGGATCTCCTTCTGCAGACAAACTAAAGAGGATCTCAGGAGGTTTGCTCTGTGGTGTATGGAGCATAATTCCACACCCACCACATACCAAAGCATTCAACAAAAACTCACAGTGACTATCCAAACTCAGTTTTATGTTTTATTTTAAAAGAGAAACATGCTGAGATGGGCATAGGGAAGAAGTGTTGCATTCCAGAGTTGAGTTATAAATTAACTTAGTTTAAGTGCCTCTTAGTAACTAGAAACTTTTAGCAAACTGTTTTTATTCAGGGTGTCTCTCACTGAATTGAGTTAAAGGAGAAACAATTATTATGTAAATTGTAATTCTTAACATTGCTTCTGGGACTCTCTTCAGGTCTTTTTTAAGGCACCACATGAAAATTTTTATTTTTTAACAAAGTAGCAACTCAGTCATGCAAATAAAGACCTACACAAAAGTACTCTTCCATGGCTATTCATTGACAGTAACTCCAGACTTTCAGAAACAATCCTAGGCTATCTAATGACAAATATATCCATGCTTTAAAACTGAAAATGTCTTACTCCAAATGATTCTTTTTTATGTAATAGCTTTCAAAGATAAAGACATTTTATGATACTTTATCAAATATGAATGAAAATATTTATATTTCATTTTAGAAGATTAGACTGAAGTCTTATATATAATTTTAAAAATACCTGTTCAGAGGAACAATCCACAGTCCTCTTACAAACGCTCAGAAGCCTACCACTTTTAGAGAGGGTGGCATGTTTTCCATGATAGTCAGTGTTCAGTCTCACATCTTGTAAAGCATATCAACATACCCTTAGACCAGAGAATGATTCATATTTTCTGAGTGACTCACTGATTAATCTCAAATTTGCATTCTATAAGTAGAAATTTGATGAAAATTTTGAGCTACAGGGAAATTACAAATATTGCCTCAGCTGGAATCTTTTTATGAAGAAGGATGGATTTCATAAAACTGTATGTTCTAAGCCTATCACTGAAAAACTTCAAAAGAAGTCATATATTGGGAATACTGCTATGGTAATGATCTGTGGGAGACACAAAAATGAATTAAAACTCAGTTCTTATGACATGGGAACATAATATCTAGCAGAAACTAGGAAAACCTGGATAGAATGTGTACACATATAATTAAAACAGTTTGGTGTCTTAATCAGTGACACAATGGTGCATGTTAAGTGATGAGAATAAAAACAATGGAGGCACTAGGAAACACCAGAATTTGGTTATATTCTTCAAGATCTACAAGACAGTCAAGTTCATAATTTGAATCAATGACACTTATATGGGAGGACTATTTGTGAGAGTACCTGTGAAATCATTTGATTAAAGATACACAATAGCTGAAAAGGCTTTAAGCCCATGGGTACTTTGAAACTCCACATATTGTGGCAAAATCTAGGGGTTATCCAAAAGAGTCCTAGACAACTGCCATCTTATCTACCTTGGGCGTGTAAGAAATAGTCTATTTGAATAAAATGTTTTGAATACTATTAGCAGTTTACGATTCTTCTGCAGAATAAAAAAGGTATAGGTTTTGCAGTCAGAGCTCAATGCTCCAAATGCTAACCCTGCTGCCTAGCAAGCAGGTAACATGGCTTAACCTCTCCAACCTTGTGCTTAATTAGCTGCAAAATAAGTGATAATATCTAGCCAATAGGTTATAATGAAAAGCACATAAGCATCAAATTATAACAGATGAGATGTTATATAGTTTGCATTTCACTAATAGTTTTAAAAGCAGTCTAACTCCAGACTGAGTCTGTCTAGTCTTCACCACTTGCAAGTTGTATGGCTGTGGGAAATTATTTAAATTATTACCCTCAGTTTTCTCATTTGTAAAATGGAGATAAAAGTAGTACTCACATTCACAGAGTAACATAAAAGCATGCCAACTGGACCTTCAAATATGCTCATTTTACTGAATTCTGTTCAGGGAGGTTTTTTTAAAGAGTTGTTTTCTCTAGATATTTAAAATTTCTGTATTTCCTATTTATTAGATCTCATTATTAATTTATTATCTCTCATTAACTTGGGTACAATTTATATAAATGAGGTGAATACAATAAAAATGATGTCTTGTTGAAAGAGCTTCAGATTTCTGAAAGTTCCAAATTACCTAAGAGGATAACCAGAAAATAAAAAAGGTAAAAGCAAGAACATGGGGAATCTGTTCCTGAAGGCAAAGCACTGGACTTATGTTAGCACTGGTATGGCAAATTAATGGGGAAAAAACTTTCTAATATTTCTAAGAACAATGAAATAATTAAAATAAAAAAATATTGGTAGATCAAACTTTAATTCGGTACCTCTCCTAGTTACACTTGATTTAAGGTCAAGACAGCAACCTTCTCTGCAGCTCCCTCTCCTGTGGGGTAAAAGTTATGCTTACACTTACATATCCATAAATTAATACTTAAATTAAATTCACAGCATGCTGTGAAACTAACTTCCCCAGGTCACCTTGCAAGCTCTCACTTCCATCCCATCCAGTTTCTATGAATTTAAATTCTAAATTCTATTTTCTTTTCCAAATAAATTGCTGACATACCAATGTATTTTAAAATGCCAAAATATATTACTATTATGAATGTTTTAGCATAATGTGCATTTCTGAATGCTATGGAGTATCGAGTACTTTATGTACCCTTTTTTTTTGTGCTGGGGATCAAACTCAGGACCTCACACTTTTGAGGCACACATGATGCCACTGAGCTAAATCCCTGGCCCTATGTATCCTTTTAATAAAGTAATGGTGTTGGCATTCCAATGATACCACCAGCCACAACAACAAAACTGGCTAACCTTAGGAGAACTAAAGAGGACAAATCAAATGAGAAGCTGCCAAGAGAAAAATTTCAGATAAACAACATGAGAGGCCATTGGCAGGAACTGTTCAAAGATAAAATGGCCATATTCAAGAGTAGTTAGCTAATCACATTCTAGGCATACTGTAGACCCAAGTCAATTATCAACTGGTCATCAATCAAGGAAAAGGGCCACTGATTCAACTTTCTGTAAATACTAGGTAGAATGATAAAGATAAAGAACTGATCCTTTTAGAAACAGAGATCCAAATACAAAATTCATATGCAAAGCAAATTGCATTATGAAATATAATGAGGTACAAACAGCTTGAACACAGTATCAGTTTTAGAAAAATGACTATGGCGACATGAATTTTCATTTTAAATTTCTGCTTACTGTTCAACTTAGAAGATTCTTAACAAAATTAATCAGACTCAGTGACATTAAATTATTATTCAGTATCAAATTGATATTAAGTTTCTATCATAAATAAACATTTTACTTCAATGTAACACTATATTTAAAGTTTAAAGGAAGAGTAGCACACATCAAATAGGAAAAAATTACTTATGATTATTAATTTTAGTAATTTGATTTGCTATTAACAAGATACTTTCAAGAAACAATCCCATGCTACAACCCCCCTTCACAAACCTTATCACAAAGCCATGGCTAGTATATCCCTACCAGAGGACCTTACGGCCCAGGTTCATTTCTCACTACAAAATAACTCCATTTTTACCAATGAACAAAGGGAGCTGAAAAGGCTCTTCTGAACATAGAAAATAAGGTGTATATTGATTGTTCTCCTCCATATAGTTCTCCAAATCCTCCCTTCTAATTACAGCACTTTAGTTTACAAAAAACCACTTGGTCCTAATTATTCTCAGCTATTTTCCATAGGAGAGTTGTGTGTGTGTGTATTGCTTATTTGGCAGTATTGTCACAGTAATAACAACAAGGGGCTACTTGTCCTTGTGAATGCTGTAGCACTGATTAATGAGCCTTTCTGAAGTTTACTATTGCCCTGGTTCTGAAGCAATACACGCATGACTAGTTTTTACTTATTCACTTGCTTGTTTACTGAATTATTTATTTTACCTCTCAGGACAATAGGCAGACCAGTATAGTAGTAAGTCAATCAGGAAAAACATAGATTCCAAAAGAACACTATAAAAAAAAGAAAAAACAATGAAAAACTTTAATTCATACATAAATATTAAGAAACAATTTCATTTTACAAAAGCCTTGCAAAATTATCACTCAATAGCAACTACTTCTGAATACTTTTGTATTATAGCAAATTGTTATTAAATTTGAAATTGGATCCTGATCTGCATTTCAGATTAGTGTGATTAGTTGTTTGGAGAACATATTGAGAAGGGTGGGGTATGTGTATAAGATAAAGTTACAGAGGGGCCGGGGATTTAGCTCAGTCGTTTCGCTGCCTGCTGTGCAAGCGCAAGGACCCGAGTTCGATCCCGGGTACCAAAAAAAAAAAAGAATCTAGGACTTAAAAAAAAAAAAAGATAAAGTTACAGAGCTAGCCAATCTTGGTAGACACTAGTAATAAATACATATGGCTGCCCAGTATAATTTCAAAAACCCTTTGGTACTTGAATAAATGCTCAAAACACAAATTCTACTATTCCAGTTCAGAAGCTCATATAGAACTCCTATACTCTTTTACCTTGGGGAATGTAGGCATGTAGCCTAGGCTCTAGAAATCAAATGCAGAAACCAAGAAACTTGATCCAAGTGGAAATATTGTGGAGAAGTTTGTACTCTATTGGGAATGTGAGGAGTTTTGAAGTGGTGTCTAGATACTCCTGTTGACAGAAACAAAGGCAATGATGACCCAAATAACGCAAGATCACACTTCCTGGCTCAGATGTAACTTCAATCCAATCGTGGGTGATTCCTCTTACTATATGATAGCCACCAGGATAATGTTCTTATAACAATGGTCTTATGATGTGCTTCTAAGCATCACTGCCTGAAGGCATAGCCTGAAGCCCGGTTTTTCAGAATACACACTCATTCTGTGATCTAAAAATACTTTTCAATTAACAACTCTAATATTTAGTCATCACCTGTTGATTAAAATTAAGAATAAAGACTGATATTAAATAGGTACAAGGTGAGTGACGGGAGAGAATGTACCAAGGAAGATGCCAGAATTTGCAGCTCTGGTAACTATATGAGACTGACTTGTTACAAAGATGTCCCATCTAGCAGGGAGAGCCACCTCACCTACAGAAGTTCTAAGGGATTACAAAGTCAAAGACCAATGTAGGTTTGGAGTTCAGTTCTTTCATTTGTTCACTTTCTTAAGTCTAATACATACCATAATTGTGGGAAATGGATATAATCTATGTAAAATGCTTAGCACAGTTTTCAATGCACATTGCTATTGTGTAGGTATGTAAGGAGAATCAGCAAACTTCTGGGTGAATCATCTAATTTGTAGACCTAGCCCTGAACAGAGGCAGGTTGAAAGTATTAAACAGAGAACCTGGGATCCTCCAAATAAAATGGACTTTAAAACCTGGTTCTAGTCCTCAGTGTGGTCTAGAAATATGAAAAAATTCAGGTAAAAAGCAAACCCAAGTGAGGTCAGAAAAAATTGCTTCTAAATCTTTGCTCCCTAGACACTGAGCATCCAAAGGTTAATGTCATGTACATACATCCCAAGGCTTAGGCAGAGTATCTAAAGTGTTTGTGCTTTGCTGATCTTCCTGCTCAGCCTCTGAGTTGTGTGAAGAACTTACCCTGCAGGTGAAGGAAATGTTAACCATAGGTGAGTGGACCAGAAATGTCAGAACTTCTTGTGCATCTTATGTTAATTTACACACATGCATGGACACACATACACACACAGCACCATCCATTTCCCTCACAATTTGCTATCATAGACATAAAATGTATAACCATGTTGGTACTAAATAATTTGTAGGATTGGATTAAATGTTTAAATTTAATATCATTTTAGAAGCTGCTGGAACATAGTTTTCTTGTTATTTTGAACTCCAGAAAAATGCTGAAGGTCAATAAACCAGTAATAGCTCCTGGTGGTTTAATTGGCTGGGCTTTGTACAATGATTTGATCCATTCTACACAGACACGTCTGTACATTAAGTTGACAATAGGCTGGGTAAAACAACCCACTTTTGTAAAGTGATACTTACGGCAACAGAGCTGTAAAATGGCCCCGGAGGCATAGATGTCAGTGGGACACTCAACAAGGTCTTGCAAAGTGCACTGAAATGGAACAAAAAAGCAAAAGGAAGAGAAAAAGGTGCATTCAAGACAGCCTCAAGCTCAGTTACTGCTTCAAACTGCAAACTTATCTCTGGAAAAGGTATACTTTTTGACAGTACAGCTTGCCAAAAAGATACTAAATGGTGAGTTTTTTTCTCTGAAGTGGTTTTGGCAACAGAGCCTAAAAGGAAAAGCTGCAAACACTAACCTTCGACAAACAGAAAGCTAGAGTTATTAATTCTAGTTACAGCCAAGCAACACAGATAATTGTAGGACTGAAATATTCAGATGCAGTTTTTGTATACTTCATTTTGTCTACTCAGAGAATAGACAAGAGGGACCAATGTCCTTGGCTAGATTAAAACTCAGGTGAAACAAAAAGCAAAATGTAGTTTTGAAGGAAAAAAACAAGGATGTCTTGGATCAAAACTAAATGGGAAGAGATCCTAAATAATCAAGAGGGATAAGACATTTACCTTAGAGAAGACAGATTAGGAGGGATCCTCTGCAGCCATGGAGAAGTAAGAGCAGATAGAAAAGAAAGGCAGAAGTGGTAAGAGGGAGGGGAGACCTTAACATAGGTAAGTTAGAGACATCATACAGATAGCATGGATGAAGTGGATGAGAAGAGCAAGGTCTCAAATCTGCATGGGAAATTGAAGAAAATGGAAGAAATAGCAAAGTATAGCAGTCAAGGTCTTAGAATTCTTAATAATAAGATGTGGGAGAAGCTCAGATATTGTAATAATAAACACTTATTTCTTAGAAGTATTTCATGAATGTCACCTCTACACTACTAGAACTTTTATTTGTATGTGGTACGGACTATTTTAATTTTCAATTTTCCATTAATATTTGGCCTAAAATTAATGGAATTAAAAGGACATTAGCAATCTTAATTTATTAATTTATCCTACATAAGAACAGTCAATCAGGTAAACAATATTTATTAAATCTCTACTGAATACAATTATAGTCTAATGATGAACAGTTAACCATTTACACCATAAAATCAACGTGAAAAATAAAATTTTGCTTAAAAGAAAGGCCAGTTGGCTAATAAATCTTTATTACCATTAAGAGAAGCATTTAAGGTTGTATAATCTTTTGTGTTTGCAAACCTGGTTGGATATTGGTCTTCAATTTGTTTATATATTGTTAAAAAATTCAGCAGCATAGTATTGTATTCCTCCAATATTCACTGAACACTTACAGTGGAGCCTGGCACCTCACCAAAAGGCCATGTCTACCAAGAAAGATAAAGTGGAGCTATTTCCTTTAACAAACTCACAGTCCAGTGTAGAAACATTCAAGCAAGCAAGCCACTGCATTCACAGTAATTATAAATAAAAGAAATAATAGAAAGGCCTTGTGAGAGGAATACAGCATTTCCTAATAGCAAACAGGTGCCACTGACCAAGCAGTGCTCTGGGAGCACCTTCCTAACAGTAGATAGGAGGCTCAGTTGTAGCTTTACCTGGCCCAGTACACTTCCATAAACATGTTGTTTGTCTCTCAAATACACAAGATGTGGAGAAAACAGACTTCTTGTGTACTGCTGATGGGAATGCAAATTATACAGCAATTATGAAAATGTTGAGCTTCCTCAAAAACCGAAAGTACCATATGACCCAGCAATTCTACATCTGGGAATACATTGCAAGAGTTTAAAATCAGTGTGTTGAAGGCATAATGCAACATTATTCACAATAGCCACAATATGGAATCAATCTCAGTGTCCAACAGTGGATGAACACATGAAGAACATATTGCACAAATACACCATGGAATACTATTCAGCCGTTAAAAAGGGGAGACATTGGCATTTGTAACAATATAGATGAACCTGTAGGGTAGTAAGTGAAATGAACCAGACACAGGGAAACAAAAAGTGCTATTTTCCTCTCACTTAAAGGTATAATATGGAAAATGTGAATTTATGGAAACTTGGGATTAGGGATCAGCATAATGAAAAAATGATGCTTAAACCACAGAAAGTTGCAGTGAGACAGGAATACATGATAAGTACTTAAGGTGATGGATATGTTCATTGGTTTGATTTATTCAATGTTATATAATAGCTACAATATGCACTACAAAATGGCATATGATTATAATTTATCATAAATAACATTAATTTTGAAAACAGAAAACAATGCCTCCTAATGTATATGTAATGAGGAAAGTGTTACTCTGGTCAAACCAGAACCAGAGTGGGGCTGTCATTTTAAACCTTCCCTTCTTGACTCACTTATTCACTTATATCACTGCCTGGCTCCTGAAAATACTTAGATATGTCACACTGTTTTAAATAAATTAATATTTTCAAAAGAAATTTTAAAATTATAGAACTTAAAATTATGGTAATAGTTTATATTACAAGAATACTAAACTACCTATTCTGTAAGAAAAAAATAATTGTGATCAGTTATGTGATTCACAGATGTTTCTATTACTTTTTACAAACACTTAATTTTATGAGTGCATATTAGAAACACAGAATAACAGATTTTTTTATACATTGGTATATTCATACACCCTCACTTTCTACACATCCCTTTCCTCTTCTCTCTCTCTCATCCTCTACCTCATCTCTAATAATGACATCCAACAAGTGCTGTGGAATAGGTTAATCTACATTGTACTTAATTATATACTTTTCTGTGAGATCATGAGTTGCAAATGGCATAAAATACCAAGTAAAGAGGAAGAAATTTCATTTCAAATTCCCCTCCTACTGTACCAAGTACCCTTATAAAAAACAAAATTCCAATTATACAAGACTATGTTCTTAATGATCAGCCTTAAGAAGTGCTATCCATTTTGATGTGAGATTAGACAAGTTGGGAGTTTTGCAAACATAAGTAAACCAATTGCCATATCTTATTATACATTACATAAGTTGGCCTTTACGTTTTTATAAAGTTCTTTCTCTTCTGTTTCAATTTTTAAAATTTAAATTGTGATTAGTCTACTGTTTATATGCTTCATTTGGGGGAGGGACTAAGAAAAAGAAAAATAACTTTAAGGGTAGAATTACATAATTCACTTCTACTTTTAAATATTGTGATTGTAAAATATAAGATTGCTTACTTTGGATTTTCAATATTGTATTATTTGGTTGATTCTTTGCTGAGCTAGGTAAGGTATCAGTGTCAAAATTGATAAATATATGTACTCTATTTGCTTTTCAAAGTACAAGGAGGATGTATCCCATATTCTGAGCAAGCAGAGCTTATCTGCCTTTCTGATGGTCTGCAAAGTCCCATAAATTGTAAGAAGCTGACAGAACTAATATTTCACACCAGCACAAATATAATTTATTAATAGTATAAACAGATTGACAGGAAATAACCTGCATATCTCTCTGAGGAAGGATTTTCTTTCTTTTTTTTTTTTTTTGGGACCGGGGATCGAACTCGGGTCCTTGCACTTGCACAGCAGGCGGCAAAACCACTGAGCTAAATCCCCAGCCCAGGAAGGATTTTCTTAAATTCCTATAAAGAAGTAATGTATAGGACTAAATCTATAAAATACATCCCTTTGATAAAAAATAATTCTTGACTGTTAGGACTCAGGGCTGTAAATATTATGATACAATTTGAATGTAGAATAATTTAATTCTCTATCTCTATGATGCTGACCAATCAGTGACTAAGCATTGTATTACTTTGCAGAGTTTATGTGTATTTGAAAATAAATATTTGTACATTTGCATTGTGACTTTTTATTCAAATTCCAAACAGGAAGAAAAGCCAGATGTACATCTGGGGCTCTGCTGGTCCTCTCTTTGTATACAGTGATTACAAAAGGGTCAAAACACCTGCTTCAGGTTTTGTCATCCAAAACTTTTGCTTTTTTCTGTTATATACTGACATACCAAAGGAAGCCAAAGCAAAGCATAATCTGACTAAACAAAATATTATCCAGTCATGCAGGAGTGACATGATATGAATCTGCATTATCTTGGCTGGCTGCATCCTAGGGCACCACATCTAGGAGTAACTGGCATGTGAAGCCTAGGTCAAACATTTCTCTATTCTGTAAACAGTTACAGAAACTCTTGGCTTATCCATTATCATTTGGAAATAAACATATTTCAGTGATTTCTCTAAATACTAGAAACTCACTGTTTCAATACCAAAGTTTTGGGCTCATTTAATTTTCACTTTCTGTGCAATGTGTTAAATATTTCTGTTATCTCAGAAAATGAAAACTACAGACATAAATTTGACCCAGGGCTGCACTGTGCTGATGTCTTTAGAGACAATTAATGTGTACAGGCCTGGCTGTTCTCAACTAAATGACTTGGGGGGACTAGGCTTCATATATATGTATGTGTATATATATATATATATATATATTTTTTAAATGATGTTCTATATCCTCACTCGCTAACAAGATATTGTTAACAATCTTTGCTACTATGAATTTTCCTGACTGTAACAGACTCTTCTCTTTTTGTCTTTTTGATTTTCTGACTAATGGTTTCCCAACTAAAGGTTTGGTTCTCCTGTAAGTTGCCTAAATGTGTGTGTGTGTGTGTGTGTGTGTGTGTGTGTATTCATACCTGTGTTCATATCACACTTAGCTTTTGAGTTCATTCTCATTTTTCCTACCTATATTACCATAATAAAAAATTACATAATGGCATCTAATCTTTACTATGGGTCACGCTCTATGTTAATGACTTCACAGTGTAACTGCATTAAATTCTCCTCTTTACACTTTTATAAAGTATAAGCTACTATTGTTTTCTATATTCTACATATAGGAAACTGAGAAAAAAGATGTCAAAGTGAATTTCCAGTCCTTTGGAAAGTGTTAAGAGCTGTAACCTAACAACCCACGAATGCATGGTTCCAAAAGCTACTGTCAACAATTTGCAAAAGACAGGTTTTGATTTGAGACTTGAATAGTAATAGAACACTATTCAGAGATGAAAAATAAGGAAAACCTGCCATATACAATACCATGGATGAACACAGAGATTATTATTTATCCTGAGAACAGTCCAATCAGAGAGACAAACACTTCACAATTCCTTTTACATGAAGTGTTTCTAAAATAGGGAAACTCTTAAAAAAGAGAATAGAACAGTGGTTCTCAAGGGCTACTGTACAGAGA